CGTATTGTGCATATTGAACACGCCATCACGAGTGAATGAAGCCTCGTCAGTATACAATAATATTTTTAGAAAATCAGGAATATCAACACATTTTTGAATCATCCATTCACAAAACTCCACTCTCTTTTCTTCATCACCTGGATATAAGGCCTGGACTTTTTGGATGTGATAAGGATGTAAACCTTGTTCTTTAAGTGTCCGCCACACAACAAATGAGGACACTCCAATTTCAAGACCTAGTCTTCTACAACTTAATTGAGGCCGGTTTTCAACAGCTTCCAATATTTCTTCTTCGGCCGCCAATGTTCTTTGTGTTCTTGTTCTCCCTCGATCTGCATTGACACTCTCAAATTTTCCATGGTCTCTTAGATGCTGAACAGTTGAAATAAACGTACGACAGTCCGGAATTCTCCGATTTGGAAACCGTTCGCGATACAGGATTTGTGCTTGCCGAGAATTTTCTCCAGCTGCCCCATAAACCAGCACTATATCCGTTAGTTCAATATTCGTAAATAGTGGCATCGTAAAAAAATATTTAAAAGTAATCGTAACAACACTTTTTACCAACTTGGAAATGACGCGCTCGTGTTAGCCAGATTCGTAAATCAACTAAAATTTTAATAATCTATAGTTTCAAAACAATCATTTATCAAATATTCTAGTTTTTTGATAACGAGGGTAGTAAAAACCAGTCATCTGACAAAAACTTGCATATTAATTACTGTTGATGTTTAAAATAGGTAAATAAACCTAATTTATATAGGTCATCCTCAACATATCAGTGAAGTACGTTTGTTTTAGAATTAATTTTCAAAAATTAATAACTCCCTTAATAAGGGGTATTTTTAAAAAATAATATTTTTCTACATTCAGTGTATTTCAATAACACCCTGTATATTACAAGTTTTCTCTTTTTCACTTCAATGATCTTATAAACAGACTGAGATGAGGTATGCGAATTCTTCTCAGTTTAAATCTTAAATTCTTGTAAGGTTATGAGTTTTTGGTTTTAAAATAACTGAATAATATAAAAGAACAAACAAACGAAGTTGCGTGATATTTTATGAACCCTGACGTTTCGTAAGACGTTACGTCAAACGAAACGTTAAACGAAACGTTAAACGAAACGTTAAACGAAACGTTAAACGAAACGTTAAACGAAACGTTAAACGAAACGTTAAACGAAACGTTAAACGAAACGTTAAACGAAACGTTAAACGAAACGTTAAACGAAACGTTAAACGAAACGTTAAACGAAACGTTAAACGAAACGTTAAACGAAACGTTAAATGAAATGTTAAACGAAATGTCAAACGAAACGTCATGCAAAATGTCATGCGAAACGTCAATCGAAAACGTCAAACGAAAACGTCAAGCCGCGCCTGCGCAGTGCTTGGGTACAAAGATCAAAGTGTGCTCAATGCACCCATTAACTACTAGCCCCATAATGAAGAAGATACAGATAATGAAGAATACAATAAGAGTTCTGAAATCGGTATTTCATTAGAAGAATGTTCCTCTATGCACTATTGCGGGATACTTTAAAATTTAAATGCGAGGAGTGTCAAAATTATTTCGAAGAAAAATAAAATGTTTTGAATGATGACTCATTTTTTATAAAACTTACAATCTTAACGAACAATCCAGGTTAAAATGTCCATTATCACTATTGGGCCAATGTCACACAAAACAAAGAAGAATATTATACCAAAAAAGTTTTTTATAATTTACGAAAAATTATAATTGAAAAATAAAAACATTTTTAGCAGAATGGTGTAATTGTAATAATAACTGTGTGGAACAACTATTAACTATTCATCTTCTTCTTAACTATCTATAATGGTTCTGACCGTATTTCAAATAAAATATCTGCATTATTTTTTTTTATAATTATTTTAAGAATGTTATTTTTATGTAAACGTAGATTTAGCAGAAAAACTTAATATGCATTTGAAAGCATATTTACAGAATTCAACAATGAATGGAAGAACTATTAGCAGTCTAAACACGTCTTTTTTAGTAACCTGTGATAGCGATCAGTAAAATATTGCTTGGGCTTATAGTATTAGCGATACTAAAGGAAATAGTGTAATAGATGAATGTAATAATAATTAAAAGATACTTTAGAAAAAGAAAATAAGAGATAGTCTCAGATTATGCTTTGTTATGGGTATTTTTTTTGTTAGTTTGCATTTTAATAAGGTTGAATAATATAGGTGCCAAAAAAAATCGACACCACTTCCCCATACCTTAAAGGCAATGTTATAGTTGTCAAAGAGCTGTCAAAACGTTTGTTTTTCTAATATTTCTTTTGGATTTTCTTTATCCCATATACTAGTGTTGAAATTTCTTTATAAAACTCTCAATATCTTTAATAGATGGTGCTAAATTTCTTCTGAAATGCGTAAGGCATCTTCTTGCAGTTTCAGCAAAACATTACTCATTTTGGTATATGAGCTCCAATAATATTCAATGTAAAAACTTTTTGCAAATAACCCTTGAGAGTAAGGCTGTCAATTCCTGATGTAATAAACGGATAACCGGTTCGACTGATTTAGGCCGGTTTCGGTTTTAACCAGATTTTTATAACCGGTCCGGATATCCAGTTAACCGGTTTTATTATCCGGTTAAACGGTCCGTATGTCTGATTAATCGGTTCGGATATACGGTTAACCGGTCCGATTATCCTGTCAACCGGTCAGATTATCTGGTTAACCGGTCAGATTATCCGGTAAACCAGTCAGATTATCCGGTTAACAGGTCCGATCAAACCAAACCGGTTAGATCGGATTCGGCGGTTTAACCGTTACCGTGACCAGTTAAACCCGTTACTGGTTTAACTGTAATTATCACCGGCTTAATTGTGGCATATTTTGTATATTTTGGATAACTGTAATATAAATTTATTAAAAAATAATAATTTTCTTAGTTTTAGTTTGTTTTATTATTACATTTGAAATGTTTATATTTGTTTGTATTTTTTTATAAAATAAATACAGTCTCATTTTGTTTCACTTTTAAATGTATTAGTTTTGAAAACATCGATGTTTATAAATATAGTTTTTTTTCACTTCGGTCATTTAAATGCCATCGATACTTTGTTTTTGGTATATCATTCGATGTCAGTATCGACGTTTTAAGAAATATGCGCATCCCTACTAAGAGCTCAAACTATTTTTATTCGTTTACGTTCACAGTCTCGCTAAAACCCGTTTAGGGTACGGTTAAACCAGTTACGACTCAACAAGTGACAGGTTTAACCGGGGGACCTATTTTCAAACCGTGTGAGTACTCATTTCTCTCAAGATTCTCATCAGAAATGTCATACGTCAATGTGGAAACGCTGTTTTTAAAGGCCTCGAGGATTAAAATTCTTAGGAGGATATTAATTATCTCTAAATAAACCGTGAGAAACAATCAGTGAGTTTACACTGGCCCTTAGGACCCTAAAAATACTGTTTTACGTTGACGTATGACATTTCTCTCGAGAGAAATGAATTCTCTCGACTTTGAAAATAGCACCCCGGTTCGATTAGAGTTATACCAGTTACGGTTAAACCGGTTACGGTTAAACCTGTTCCGGTTAAACCGATTACGGTTAAATCGGTAACGGTTAAACCGGTTACGTTTTTTAACAGTTTTTGGTCCTACGGAACTGGTTAACCGGTCACGGTTACCAGTAATTTTGAAAAAACGAAGGTAATATATACAAATCAGGCATTTAGTCTTACAGTTTCAGCGGCTTTAAATGTGTACGTCGAATTAGGTAACTTGAAATGTAATTTAGCGTTTAAGGGTCTTGACCAGTGTTACCAGATCTCCTGTATTTCTGATCAAACAGAGTTAGCAACCTGTAACTGTGGCTTTCAAAATTTAAAATAATAAAAGATTATTTGAGACCAACACTAGCACAAAAAAGGCTTGCAGACTTTAAATGCCATCGATACTTTGTTTTTGGTATATCATTCGATGTCAGTATCGACGTTTTAAGAAATATGCGCATCCCTACTAAGAGCTCAAACTATTTTTATTCGTTTACGTTCACAGTCTCGCTAAAACCCGTTTAGGGTACGGTTAAACCAGTTACGACTCAACAAGTGACAGGTTTAACCGGTTCGATTAGAGTTATACCAGTTACGGTTAAACCGGTTACGGTTAAACCGATTACGATTAAATCGGTAACGGTTAAACCGGTTACGTTTTTTAACAGTTTTTGGTCCTACGAAACCGGTTAACCGGTCACGGTTACCAGTAATTTTGAAAAAACGAAGGTAATATATACAAATCAGGCATTTAGTCTTACAGTTTCAGCGGCTTTAAATGTGTACGTCGAATTAGGTAACTTGAAATGTAATTTGGCGTTTAAGTGTCTTGACCAGTGTTACCAGATCTCCTGTATTTCTGATCAAACAGAGTTGGCAACCTGTAACTGTGGCTTTCAAAATTTAAAATAATAAAAGATTATTTGAGACCAACACTAGCACAAAAAAGGCTTGCAGACTTATCTAGGCTTTTTGACAGAGTTATTAAATATTATTAATAGATATTTGTTTTTATTTGTTGATTATATTAGTGAATTAATAATTGATTAATGCGTTAAGTTGTAAAACTAAAAAATATAAACCAAATTTCTTTTATTTTCTGTATTTTTTATTTAAGTTAAAAATATCGAATTTATTTATATAAATAAATATCAACCCCTACACAATAAATTATGTACACTAGCTACACAACTCTATGGTTAGTCAAAAATATTCTTTTATACCTATTATCTTTAAAATGAAAGGGAAATCTCTAGCTCTGGCGCTATATCGCTGTCTATTAATATTTAACCACAAAAGAATAATAATTAAATTCAATACCAAACAATAATTGTATAAAAATCAATATTTTGATTCTAACTAAATTCAATAATAGAAAATTTAACACAGTATACATTTAATCACCTCCAATTTATTCCACCCCTATGTAAGAAACCGAAGAAATCTTTTGTGTCTCACCTAAAGATCCTTTAATACTCCATATTCAATAAATTGTTGCACACAAAAGTAGTGTCTGAATAATTCACAATTATTTTTATCACTAAATTGTCTATTTGAATCGCGTGTTTAAACAATAAAAATTCATAATGATGAACTTCTTAACAAGGACGCAAACCACAGAACAACGCAAACCAACTGGCAATAGCGCCCGTCACTACTGCGCTTGTGCCCCTAATGCTTTCCCCACTCCCCACGCAATTGCATTATGGATATTTTGTGTATATGGCCAATTTCTCCGTGTAGCCGAGGGGTGGGTTAGGAATTTTTAAACAGGTGGTGGAGAGTCGAAGGGATAACAGCAGGAATATTAAAAGAGATAGTTATGTAGCAGGAGAGTGAAATTTTATGTCTGGAATATGCGAATTTGATATTTTGTAGGCGTTTGTACGAATGGGGTGTTAAATAACTATTATTTTTATAAAAGGAATAAAAATTATATAAAGATTATCACCTTTAATCAAAATTACATGTTTTTATACAAAGACTTTAGTTCTAAATCAAATTCATTATAATTTTTCATAAAATATGTTTTCAAATTGAAAAGTGTAATGAGAAAAGAATTATTTCTAAATAGAGTTAATTATAAAACTTTAAAGTTGGATCTTTAGGAGGAAAAATTGGGTGTATATATCAAAATAATGATACAAATAACGTGGCAAATTATTTACTTTAGTGTTACCCCAGGGGGTCGCTATGAGGTGCTAGAGCTGTGGTCGCTTTGTTAATTTTGGAATAAACAGCGAGCTACCCACACGGAAGCCACGTAACGCAACGTAAATGAAATAATCCACAGTTAATTTATCATTATATGTATCTATTTTACTATTTAACTGGTAATACATAGGTACTAATAATAAACTAATAACAAAATAACTAATATTACTAGTACGTACTTGTTCCTACCTACCAAACGAAGGTGTTTGAAAAATAAACACAAACTTTTATCCAGCCACAACGGCATGTCACGTAAGATTTAAAAATAGTTAATAATAACAACAAAAAAGTAATGCACTATCATGTTCATTGAAAAATAAAAAAGCACGTTCAATGAGAAGACTGATACTCAGACTCATCGATAATTTTTTTAATGTTTGCAGTATAATTTGATACAGCCCACATCCCCAACTAGCCATTCATAAAAGTGTATTTGTTGTGAAGTTCTTATCATCATCTATTGTATAGTCCAGGAGACAGTGACGATTTTCGGTATTTATTTTCCCAGTCAGCAAGCACGAATAGAGAATTGTAGGATTAGCAATTCTAAGCAAAATTCATATATATTTAGAGGGGGATCCGATGGGCTGAGGCCGAAAATGCGTCAAAACATACGAGAACACGGCCCTTTTTTTTTCATTGATAAAAATAGTTTTAGTAGTAAGAGATGTACTGAAGTTAAGTAAAAAAATAGTCTGATTAATCTGTATGGATAATATATTTGGCAAGTGCATAATATACACTTTCAAACGAGTTATGTACACAATTATTTCTACGACCACAATTATTTAAAGAATGTTCCAGGTGTTTTGTATATTAAAGTGTACGCATAGGACACATAAATAAAATCTTATATCACAATGTTTCACCTAACCAGTTGGTTTATTTATAGAAATTAAACATAATAATTGAAGATATTACAGAAGAAAATAGGGAAATAAATTACATTTCCTTTTACACTTTTATATAATAATTGTTTTATTTAGAATTCACGAATCACTTATTACTGTACATTAATTATAATTATTGTTAGTTTCGTTATGTCAAATCATTTATACTAGAGGTGTGAGGAAATTACAGTGAACTGTGGAACGCCAATATCGTTGGATGCGCGTGGTAGAAATGGTCCTATAATAGTGCTAAAAACATAGCTAAATTTGCATGAAAACACTGTACTTTTGACATTTGCGATATACCCGACGCATATGCATTATTGATGTAATCTCATGATTTTACAGTAATAGTTTTTGCAATTTTAGTGTGATTTTTAAATTATTATAGTTATTCATTTTATTTGGTTTTGATCTTTTGCGCTTTGAGAGTATTTGTCTTTTATAGTAATAGTTTTTAATTTGAATTTTAATATTGTGGTCTATTTATATTTGATTGCTGCTTTTCGACTAGTGCTTTATTCTTTTTGTGTTAAAATAAGCTTTATAACCATTAAGTACATGCTTCTAGTTGATATCCACCTAATCGTCATCGGGTGCTTGCAACAATGGGAAAAAGTGTATGGTTTTTTTGGTGTAAAGTTAGACGCCTTCATTTTTCAGGTAAGTTATTTATAGTTATTTTTTACTTAAAAGGATAGCAATACGTCCTGGTTCTGGGTGTGACTTTTGGGTTTTAGCTATCTGAGCCAAATTGTCGGCTTTTAGGGCAACCAGAACCGAAAACAATATAGCTATATAATGTTTTTTTTTTTAATTATTTTTTAATATGTATGCAGCTTGGATGAGGGCTTTAGGAAGAGATCCTAAGACTGAACACTGACTGCTATAAATGCCGTTTTTAGAGCACATTTCATAGTAAGTGATTTCATTCTAGCAGCAATGAGGAAACGTTTAAAAAACATGCTGTACCAGCTATTACTTTAAGACCTCGTCTCTTTAAGTTATTATTACTTCATTCTAATGCATATATTAAAATGGTTTTTAACTTATGTCCTTATGATTAAAAGATGTAGGTATTTTAGTTATGTTATAATAGAAATATATGATACTTTGTATTGACTGACCTACTGGCCACTGGTCATTCCACTTTTACTCCCTTTTTTCATAAATTATCAAATTATTTAAAAACAAATACATACCTAGCTATTTTCTGTAAATTACATTAAAATACTTTACTAATAAAACTTCAGTTAATTCTTATATATATATATATATATATATATATACAACGGAAGAGTTAATTGGATTTTCTCCTTGTTGAGTTTCAAAAATAGTAATTTAACATGATTTAAAAACAAATACATGAAATGGGCAAAATAGGCCTGCAAAGGCACTTTGTAAACAATCTCACTTGTATCGATGTGACGTAATGCGCGAATTCAATCTGGCTTGCTTTTGTTAATAGAATGGCGTTTCATTTTAAATATACAGTTCACCGGGAATAGATTATTTAAATATACACAGACCGGGAAAACAAGTACGAAAAAATTCACTGGCTCCTGGACCAGTACTGTATCGAAGGAATTTTTATGAATGAAACAATATACGACCCTCCACAATTGCGGTCTACTCTACTTCCGCTGTTGTCAGACATTATTTTTTTTTTGGACAATTTAAAGACAACAGTAATTCAAGCAAACGCAATAACATTACTACAGTTAAAAACATCGCAAACTTGGCATCAATATTTTAATTTTATCCAAATATTGCATTTCTGTCGAGGATCGTCCGCGTTAATTTCAGAAATTGTGTAATCTGTATTGGTTATATATATCTATAGTTAAAAGCACGTAAACTTGGCATCAATGTTCAATCCGATTATTGAGTTTCTACCGCGAACACCACCGTTCATTCTTCAAAAATTTTGTAAATAATCCTATCTGTCTTGGTTATATGTCTATGGTCGCGACCGTCTTGGTTCTAACGTTCAGAATAATGTGGACGGCTGTGACCGTCATGTCCCAAACAAGGATCTAATTAATGACGGTCACAGCAGTCTTGTCCGCGAAAGGGTTTATACGGAGTGGCTCGTCTGAAATGGAACACCCTGTATGTTATATGTTTGTGTTTTCTGGGCACATATCGAATGCATAACTAACCGATGCCCATTTTGTCGAATTCACACTTTATTTACAGAAAAACACAGCATATATAAAAAAATTACATCCTTAACCAATTTTTTCACGTAAAATACACTGAAATGGTGGTCTTAATAAATTGTAAGATTCTGATTCATATTTTTTTAATCGTCTTGAATTCTATCGGCCCATCCTAATGATCAGTCTATATAACTATATACATCATTGGAAGCATACAAATCTTCTTTTTCCCATGAGTGGCTGTATGCTGTACGACTACTATGACATTAAATTATTAAAAGAAGAATGTTTAATGTTTACAATCTTATTATTTGTATTCATTTGCATTTGATACTTTAAACTTTCTAATTTTATTAACGTGTTATTTATTAAAAACTTACTATATTTTTATGGCATGTGTTTTCTGGAGACCTCTAACTAATTAGCAAACATGTCTTTTCCACCTAGAAGTAGTACTGGTACTGATTTTCCACTGGAAGCTTTGAAAGTACATGGTCCAAATTATTTGAAACATGCATTAACTAGTTGTACAGACCCTCTAAAAGCTATCGAAGAGTTTCAGGTAAAACTATTTTCTGTTTTATTATATTATGTTGTAGTTTGGTATAGTTTTAACAGAATTTTCCATAAATTTTGCACAAATTAGAGGTTACAAACAACATTACTGCTACTACCCTTAATTTAATGAACATTTAATACATTTACCAATAACTATATGAATCTGAGCTTAAAAATAAATTAATAATATAATGGTCAAAGGTCTTTGAAAGTTACTTTGAGCGCTTTCTAAATATCTTAGTATGAATCTGAACTTATAATGATCAAAGCTCTTTGAGAGTCACTAATCTTACAACAGTCACTTGGAGAGTTTTCTAAATATGTTAGTATGAATCTGGACTTATAATATAATGGTCGAAGGTCTTTGAAAGTTCATAATAGTCACTGTGCATTTTCTAAATAAATATCTTAGTAACAATCTGAACTTATAATGCTCAATGGTCTTTGAGAGTCACTAATCTTACAATAGTCACTTGGAGCATTTTCTAAATATCTTAGTATGAATCTGAACTTATAATATAATGGTCAGAGGTCTTTGAAAGTTTATAATAGTCACTGAGCATTTTCTAAATAAATATCTTAGTAACAATCTGAACTTATAATGCCTTTGAGAGTCACTAATCTTACAATAGTCACTTGGAGCACTTTCTAAATATCTTAGTATGAATCTTAACTTATAATATAATGGTCAAAGGTCTTTGAAAGTTCATAATAGTCACTGAGCATTTTCTAAATAAATATCTTAGTAACAATCTGAACTTATAATGCTCGATGGTCTTTGAGAGTCACTAATCTTACAATAGTCACTTGGAGCACTTTCTAAATATCTTAGTATGAATCTAAATTTATATTATAATGGTCAAAGGTCTTTGAAAGTTCATAATAGTCACTGAGCATTTTCTAAATAAATACCTTAGTAACAATCTGAACTTATAATGCCTTTGAGAGTCACTAATCTTACAATAGTCACTTGGAGCACTTTCTAAATATCTTAGTATGAATCTTAACTTATAATATAATGGTCAAAGGTCTTTGAAAGTTCATAATAGTCACTGAGCATTTTCTAAATAAATATCTTAGTAACAATCTGAACTTATAATGCTCGATGGTCTTTGAGAGTCACTAATCTTACAATAGTCACTTGGAGCACTTTCTAAATATCTTAGTATGAATCTAAATTTATATTATAATGGTCAAAGGTCTTTGAAAGTTCATAATAGTCACTGAGCATTTTCTAAATAAATACCTTAGTAACAATCTGAACTTATAATGCCTTTGAGAGTCACTAATCTTACAATAGTCACTTGGAGCACTTTCTAAATATCTTAGTATGAATCTTAACTTATAAAATAATGGTCAAAGGTCTTTGAAAGTTCATAATAGTCACTGAGCATTTTCTAAATAAATACCTTAGTAACAATCTGAACTTATAATGCCTTTGAGAGTCACTAATCTTACAATAGTCACTTGGAGCATTTTCTAAATATCTTAATATGAATCTGAACTTATAATATAATGGTCAAAGGTCTTTGAAAGTTCATAATAGTCACTGAGCATTTTCTAAATAAATATCTTAGTAAGAATCTGAACTTATAATGCTCGATGGTCTTTGAGAGTCACTAATCTTACAATAGTCACTTGGAGCATTTTCTAAATATCTTAATATGAATCTGAACTTATAATATAATGGTCAAAGGTCTTTGAAAGTTCATAATAGTCACTTTGAACATTTTCTAAATAAATATCTTAGTGACAATCTGAACTTATAATGCTCAATAGTCTTTAAGAGTCACTAATATTACAATAGTCACTTGGAGCGTTTTCTAAATATCTTAATATGAATCTGAACTTATAATATAATGGTCAGAGGTCTTTGAAAGTTCATAATAGTCACTGAGCATTTTCTAAATAAATATCTTAGTAACAATCTGAACTTATAATGATCGATGGTCTTTGAGAGTCACTAATCTTACAATAGTCACTTGGAGCGTTTTCTAAATATCTTAATATGAATCTGAACTTATAATATAATGGTTAAAGGTCTTTGAAAGTTTATAATAGTCACTGAGCATTTTCTAAATAAATACCTTAGTAACAATCTGAACTTATAATGCCTTTGAGAGTCACTAATCTTACAATAGTCACTTGGAGCACTTTCTAAATATCTTAGTATGAATCTTAACTTATAATATAATGGTCAAAGGTCTTTGAAAGTTCATAATAGTCACTGAGCATTTTCTAAATAAATATCTTAGTAACAATCTGAACTTATAATGCTCGATGGTCTTTGAGAGTCACTAATCTTACAATAGTCACTTGGAGCACTTTCTAAATATCTTAGTATGAATCTAAATTTATATTATAATGGTCAAAGGTCTTTGAAAGTTCATAATAGTCACTGAGCATTTTCTAAATAAATACCTTAGTAACAATCTGAACTTATAATGCCTTTGAGAGTCACTAATCTTACAATAGTCACTTGGAGCACTTTCTAAATATCTTAGTATGAATCTTAACTTATAAAATAATGGTCAAAGGTCTTTGAAAGTTCATAATAGTCACTGAGCATTTTCTAAATAAATACCTTAGTAACAATCTGAACTTATAATGCCTTTGAGAGTCACTAATCTTACAATAGTCACTTGGAGCATTTTCTAAATATCTTAATATGAATCTGAACTTATAATATAATGGTCAAAGGTCTTTGAAAGTTCATAATAGTCACTGAGCATTTTCTAAATAAATATCTTAGTAAGAATCTGAACTTATAATGCTCGATGGTCTTTGAGAGTCACTAATCTTACAATAGTCACTTGGAGCATTTTCTAAATATCTTAATATGAATCTGAACTTATAATATAATGGTCAAAGGTCTTTGAAAGTTCATAATAGTCACTTTGAACATTTTCTAAATAAATATCTTAGTGACAATCTGAACTTATAATGCTCAATAGTCTTTAAGAGTCACTAATATTACAATAGTCACTTGGAGCGTTTTCTAAATATCTTAATATGAATCTGAACTTATAATATAATGGTCAGAGGTCTTTGAAAGTTCATAATAGTCACTGAGCATTTTCTAAATAAATATCTTAGTAACAATCTGAACTTATAATGATCGATGGTCTTTGAGAGTCACTAATCTTACAATAGTCACTTGGAGCGTTTTCTAAATATCTTAATATGAATCTGAACTTATAATATAATGGTTAAAGGTCTTTGAAAGTTTATAATAGTCACTGAGCATTTTCTAAATAAATACCTTAGTAACAATCTGAACTTATAATGCCTTTGAGAGTCACTAATCTTACAATAGTCACTTGGAGCACTTTCTAAATATCTTAGTATGAATCTTAACTTATAATATAATGGTCAAAGGTCTTTGAAAGTTCATAATAGTCACTGAGCATTTTCTAAATAAATATCTTAGTTACAATCTCAACTTATAATGCTCGATGGTTTGTGAGAGTCACTAATCTTACAATAGTCACTTGGAGCATTTTCTAAATATCTTAGTATGAATCTGAACTTATAATATAATGGTCAGAGGTCTTTGAAAGTTTATAATAGTTACTGAGCATTTTCTAAATAAATATCTTAGTAACAATCTGAACTTATAATGCCTTTGAGAGTTACTAATCTTACAATAGTCACTTGGAGCACTTTCTAAATATCTTAGTATGAATCTTAACTTATAATATAATGGTCAAAGGTCTTTGAAAGTTCATAATAGTCACTGAGCATTTTCTAAATAAATATCTTAGTTACAATCTCAACTTATAATGCTCGATGGTTTGTGAGAGTCACTAATCTTACAATAGTCACTTGGAGCATTTTCTAAATATCTTAGTATGAATCTGAACTTATAATATAATGGTCAGAGGTCTTTGAAAGTTTATAATAGTCACTGAACATTTTCTAAATAAATATCTTAGTAACAATCTGAACTTATAATGCCTTTGAGAGTCACTAATCTTACAATAGTCACTTGGAGCACTTTCTAAATATCTTAGTATGAATCTTAACTTATAATATAATGGTCAAAGGTCTTTGAAAGTTCATAATAGTCACTGAGTATTTTCTAAATAAATATCTTAGTAACAATCTGAACTTATAATGCCTTTGAGAGTCACTAATCTTACAATAGTCACTTGGAGCATTTTCTAAATATCTTAGTATGAATCTGAACTTATAATATAATGGTCAAAGGTCTTTGAAAGTTCATAATACTCACTGAGCATTTTCTAAATAAATGTCTTAGTAACAATCTGAACTTATAATGCTGTATGGTCTTTGAGAGTCACTAATCTTACAATAGTCACTTGGAGCACTTTCTAAATATCTTAGTATGAATCTTAACTTATAAAATAATGGTCAAAGGTCTTTGAAAGTTTATAATAGTCACTGAACATTTTCTAAATAAATATCTTAGTAACAATCTGAACTTATAATGCTGTATGGTCTTTGAGAGTCACTAATCTTACAATAGTCACTTGGAGCACTTTCTAAATATCTTAGTATGAATCTTAACTTATAAAATAATGGTCAAAGGTCTTTGAAAGTTTATAATAGTCACTGAACATTTTCTAAATAAATATCTTAGTAACAATCTGAACTTATAATGCTCGATGGTCTTTGAGAGTCACTAATCTTACAATAGTCACTTGGAGCACTTTCTAAATATCTTAGTATGAATCTAAATTTATATTATAATGGTCAAAGGTCTTTGAAAGTTCATAATAGTCACTGAGCATTTTCTAAATAAATACCTTAGTAACAATCTGAACTTATAATGCCTTTGAGAGTCACTAATCTTACAATAGTCACTTGGAGCACTTTCTAAATATCTTAGTATGAATCTTAACTTATAAAATAATGGTCAAAGGTCTTTGAAAGTTCATAATAGTCACTGAGCATTTTCTAAATAAATACCTTAGTAACAATCTGAACTTATAATGCCTTTGAGAGTCACTAATCTTACAATAGTCACTTGGAGCATTTTCT